TCGTTAAGAAATGGCTGACAGGTCTTCTCGTAGGCACGGCAGTGTTTGTCTTATTGCTCTGCTAAAGCAACAAAAATGCACTCTTACTGAAATCACTTACAAAATATAACTCAAAGGGTTCATTCTGCTGTACAAGTAGTTCTGCACTGCTCAGTCAATAATAAATGACGGTGAAGTAGGTTTTTAGTGATTATTCGGAGACTATAAGCACTTGAATACACAATGAGTTTTAGGCTCATATTTACAGCGTTCAGTATTGGAAAGAGAAACTTATGAGCAGATGAAGACGGCGAGACTTTCCCGCCAGACTGCCGTAGGGCGACGCATGGTGAATGAGGGAAATTGAGGACTTAATGAGAGAAAGATTGGGCTCTTGAATCCACAGTGTAATCATTTGGCTTCAGAACATTTGGATTAGGCTGCCGAACTGGTTGGGGTATTTGCTGGTCATTTTTTTTCAGTTTTGGAGGTGAGAAAAAAACATGTTTATGTCCACTTGAATGTTTTCAGATGGATTCAGGCACCTGCTGAGTTAATGTGGACATTAAATTTGGTTTTTAGATTTACTTGAGGGTGAGTAGACAAAATGTTTCAGGACTTGCTTCGCCTCTACTGGCATCATTACCAATTCAAATATAACTTTATATACAAACTGTGTGCTGTAAGTGTTTTTGCAGGTGGATATCACTTAGACTTTTCTTTTTCCTCCTCTCATCTGCAGTCACAGGAGCATGTAGTGACCGGACTGAGAAGGCGCTGGGGCGGCAGGATCAGCTGCCATCTAGTGCCATGCCTTAACACCAGCTCACTTCTAACATACACAGAAAAGTGTACAACCCGAACCTGAGAGACCTTCACCTCACAGGGGGCAATCATTAAACATTTTCAGAGACAAAAGAGCTCTGTGACGCATTGGAGTCTGAACACTGCGGCCGCTGGATTCGGAAAGTGGTCTGACCTTCAAAGTTTCATCCTGTTGAGAGGGCTTTAGGTAGCCTGTTTTTGTGGAAATAAAAGGTGCCACTTGTCACCCGAGGATACAAAGTTGGTAGTGCCCTTTTGTGTCCAGCCAGCGGTTGTTGGACACTGCTGACACTGTCACACTGACCAATGGTCTGTTGAGCATTAGAAAATGCCAGCCAGCACTGAGGATGTTTTTATGTGTGGAGGGAGAATGTTGCAACTCAGTGACCGTGTAAAGGTGGAGTTTTGGAGAAGTTAAAGTTTATTTCGGGGGTTATATAACCGTCTCAGACTCTGTAGATCATAACTTTAAAGCTGATCAGGGCCGGGCCGTGACAAAGCAGGTAAGCTAGCCAAATTCTTAACTGGGACGCTAACACTTCCTGGGTGCTTTTATATACTAAGCTTTCTGACATCTAACATTTTTCACAGACTGCTTGGTTGTGTGGCTGGGATGAGAGCGGAGATATCCTTTTAACCCTGATGTACTGACCGCAGGCTCTCTTGAACAGCTCAGGAAACATTACAAACCTACAATAACAGATTTTTTTGGCCACTCAGGGGCAGAGAAAACAAGCTGTGAACACAATATTGACCTCTCACCTAACTTGATATGGGAAACTTGCTGCAGAACAGTTGCTTACTCACATCCAGCAGCTACCAAGCATCCTTTTCATTCATTTAGAGTCGTGTTACTGGTCAGCTGGTGATTGTAGAGCCAATATTCACTTTCTTTCAGCTCCATTTTTGGTCTCTGCCAACTCCTGAGAGGATTAACAGGTTCTTTAGCTGCAAAATATTCAGCTGTAATCACCAGCTAGTGCTAGATCGCCAGATAAAAATGTGCATTTCTGCAAACCATGACTACATTACATTCATTGATTTTATACATATCATATCAACATAACATATTATATGAGCTGACTTCAGGGGAAGGAGGGGATGGGGGACGGTGTGACACCTAGGAGAGACACCTGCCAAGCCGAAAACCACTGCTTGAGACCAACAAACAACAAAACTGGTTGTGTTTTAGCGAGTCATTTCTGTGTTTCCTGTGGCTTTTTAGTCACCAAATGTGGGTGTTTTAGTGACCCATCTTTTAGTTTCCTTATTTTCAGTCAAAACTAACCCTTTTCCTGACAATACCCAAGTGTTTTTTGTGCCTAAACCTAACCACACATTAACCGGAACCTTGATGAAACCTAAAGTTTCAACCTATTTGCTATATAACGTACAAATCCATGGTTTAGGGGTTCAACATTTTTTTCTGTAGGTAAGGTTGATTTTACAGTGGGTTTCTAGAGCTTTTTCAGCAGTGAGTGAACACATAAAACATAAAAGTTCAACACATTCTCATTCCGACCTCATCACATATCGACGTTTGGTCATGGACTTTCCACGTCCAGATAGGTGAAGGTACCCTGGATGCATTGGTCGTTGACGTTCTGGGACACCGTGTGAAGTCCTGCCTGTTACAAACTGTCTTTTTCAAAGTAAGCGCCCTACGCAACTTGACGGTTCGGTTTAGAAAAAAAGAACAGGACTTGGCCTCAAAATGTTACATGGTGTTTGTTGGACCCATCCACCACCCCTCCCTCCAGCCCTAGATAGACTTTTGCCTCCTTAAAGGATAACTTCGGTATTTTTCAACCTGGGCCCTATTTCCCCATGTGCATGTGTGCGTATGATTCATAGGTACAACTCGTTTTAAAATTGGTTCAGTATTGAGGGAGGTGGATGCAGCCGGCAGCCGCGAGGTAGATATGGGGGCAAATGCGTCCCGTATAAGTTTGCGCAATAAAAGTGCTTTTTTCGCCACTGACCGGCTCAGATCGCCAGTGTTATCTCTGTAAATAGCATACTAAGCGTTTCCCTTACCCTTCACTTCCTCCCGGCTGTGTGGAAGAAAACAGAGGAGCCATGCTGAGCGCCGCTCAGAGTGGCACTGGTTGTCCCGGAGTACAGCTGAGAGTTTTACTGCATCCATTGAAAACAATGGTTTGTGTTTGTGCTTATCCGAATTGCAAGAACAGGATGTCGCGCAACCCCCCGTGCAGCTTTCATAGGCTGCCTTTGTCGGACGGCGAGATGCTGAAGTTGTGGCTAGTTGTGCTACAAATGGATGCTAACACTCCTGTCCAGACACTGCGCCTTGCAGACCATCGGGTCTGCAGTGCTCACTTCTCCCAAGATGACTACTGCCAGCCGAAGAAGAAGAGAAGACATCCAATCCCGAAACACCTCTTCCTCAAGAAAACGGCTGTTCCACGAGTAGAAAGAGCTACAGTAATGTTAATGGTAATGTTATATAAACAATGTTCGAAACACTTAGTATACTATTTACAGAGATAGCACTGGCGATCTGAACCAGTCAGTGGAGAAAAAAAGCACTTTTAATGCGCAAACTTATACGGGACGCATTTGCCCCCATTTAGCTCATTTCGCGGCTGCCGGCTGCATCCGACTCCCTCAATACTGAACCAATTTCAAAACGAGTTGTACCTATGAATCACACGCACACATACACATGGGGAAATAGGGCCCAGGTTGAAAAATACCAAAGTTATCCTTTAACTTGTGTTCTTGTCCCGCTGCATTTCCCCCTGTCACTGCCAATCGCTGTTAGACTATAACAGTGACCGGCTGCGTATCATGCCGACGTTAAAGGATGGTCAGTGTCTGACGCTGCAGGTCACTGCCCAAGTGCCAGATTTCAACATCTTCGGAGTGAGACAGGGTTGAAAAGTTGCGAGTCAAACAGCTAAACAAAGACCTGAAAGTCACTACAAAGCTCTTTTGAGCAGGGAATAATAAACCACTTTTACTGCTAAGTTCCTCAAAATAGGTCCATGGACAGGACATCAGTCATTTAGCTTTGACAAAGGAAGCTCGGCGTAAGTTCAATCACGAAGACTTTCTTTGTGCTCATCCATTCACAATTCTCTCCCTCCCACTCCCACTGCTTCCTCTGATCAGCTGACTATGGGTGTTCACTCTTCTAGTTACCCAATCAAGCTTTGCCACTATGTCTATCAGCCAATCCAATCCAGAGTCCAGAATGATCTCGAAGGCCCATTCCTCTACTCATCCACATCATCATCACTTCTCCATCTTCAACTCATCACATCTTCACCACCTCTACCACCACCAGTGTCTAGACCCCGGGGGGTTCCCTATTTGACCATGGATTTATCATCCTCCTTAAATCACCAAAGACTTTTCACATTTTCCATTCTTGTGCACATGTTAATAAATATTCTTTTTACTATAAAAACAAGTCTCCTGATTTAATATTTTTATCCATGAAGCAAGAACACCGAAGAAATCATGAAAGAAACATAAACACAGATGATTAAGGCTACAAGAGCAAAAGCCAACCTCCGGGCCCCAGTCGGCCATGACTGGCCCTGTAACCGACTGAGTAAAAGAAGAAAGACATTTTAGAAACGTGTCTGACATGCAGACTCATACATTTCAAGGGGTTACTGAGAAGACAGCTCATGGTCATCAAAAATTCAAGTGGCTCCATTCAGCATTGACCTACTATGCCCTTACCCCCAACTGCTCAGCCAGCCATGTCAGTAGAAATGTACAACAGTTCATTTCAAAGGGTCTCTGTGCACAGATAGTGGTGCAGCAAGGCATACAGTTGGAGATGATGAGACAGTCAGAGCCCACCACCACCACCACTCCCCAGCTCTGCTTTCACTCTCACAATCTATAAAAACACTTCCCATTGTATGTCACCTCATCCTAACTAAATCAGCCGCGGATGCAGTTTTGCGTCAGAGCAAAACTTCAAACGCACCATAAGCACCTGGTCATCAGCTGTGTGGATTATAATTTAAGCAAATGGCGTTACATTTATTTTTATTATAGCCTCGGCACAGGAGGAAGTCAACCATACACCTACTATGCATGCTTATCCATCACACTTTATGGTTTTAGTCTGACATCGGTGAGTAACCGGAATGCGCACGGGGAGAGTAATTGAACAGAAAGAGAGACACTGGGGGAGGCAGGGATGGAGGGGGGAGTGTTGCCTCATACATACGTCTGCTCATATACACACTCTGTATGGGTGTAGGCAATCCCTCCCGCATAACACACACAGTGACGGGGGGTGAGATTGGAGAGAGACATATCAGATCCACACAGAGAGCTTCCTCACACACACACACACACACACACAAACACTCCTTCACTCCTCCACTGAAGATGGAACAACTGGATCGCAACGCGCCCCCGTACCCATGACCAATTAAAAGCCAGCGAGCAAGTATTGTCTCCGAGGATCCTGACACACGCGCTCATCTTTTCACGCTTTCACGAGACGCGTTGAAGGTATTTCCCCGTCAGTGTTTTAAGTGTGACACGTCGTTCCTGTGGATTATATGAGGGTGGCTGGATCTTGAGGACGGAGTGCGTCAAGTGAGCGCATGTATCCAACAAGTGGATGCATGAATTTGCTCGCAGCAGACAAACGCCGGGACTAAAACACAAACAAAGAGTGAATTGATACCCTACAAATCTGCCTATCGATTGATCGGTTTACGGCAGAGATCAATAATAACCGGCACTAATCAGATGTGGAGCTCCTGTTGGCTGATGGTGATGTATATATGTGCGCATTGTCTCGGCCTGAGGTAGTTTTTCCATGAACTGACTTTGTGTGTTAATGAGGACATTTTCAAGCAAATTATAAAACTGCAATGAGGTAAGACCCCCCACACATTTTTTTCCTGCTCTCCAGTCATTGAAAAGCGAGATTTCCGCGGACACGCTGCGGTATCCAGCGTCTCCCACCTCACCCCTCTCCCCCCATCCATGGACTCGCTTCCTCCTTCCCTCGGCGACCGTGGGGGGAAGTTGGGCTCCTCTCTGTAGACATTTCTGTATGACGAGGGCGCAGGTGGCAACCAAAGGTCGCAGTCATGCCGATGCATCCAGTCACCTCCACGTTGATGTACCGGGGGATCTGCACCATCCCTGACATCCTCTCCTACAGCGCCCCGGTGAACCTGCCCGAAGACGAAGTTGAAGGTGAGATGTTACCTGCTCGCACCTGAGGGTGCTCAAGGCTATAGTGAGGTGTTTATCCCCTAACAGAGGCGGTGTGTGAGGCTCCTGCGGTGGAGCTGATTCAAACAGACGCGCGGTCAGCACCTTGGACAGCGCTCAGAGATCTGGATAGAGATGCATGACAGCTCCAAACAGGCCTGTTTTAGATTCATATTCAAACACCCCCCCTCCCCACCCCTCCTCCTTTTTCCTGATCTTGATGTATGAAAGAGTGTGCAGAAATACTCACCACTTTGTTATCAGTGTTTCTCAAAGATCAGCTATCTTGTTTCAATTTTCTTTCATTGATTGGAAATATAGATTTGCAGCAGATGCTCGCCCCTCAGTGTGGAGCTGATTTCGTTCATAAAATAAGGCACCCCTGCAGCCTCTCTGCCATAAAGCGTTGCTTCTTGAGGACAGCACTGATGCATTGGCTCTAACTAGAAGCAAAAGCTCCTGGGTGGAAAATTTGGTTCACGGAAGCCTGATTTCACTGAATCCATTACGTCCACACAGACTTTCTGATGGTCAGATGGGTTGATATTCCATCTTTGCACCACAGCTGCTAAATGATTCAACCAACATTTCTTGATTCAAAAAAAAAAAAAAAAAACTTCTCTAAAAATTCCACCAAATTCGGCACTGCAGAGGCACCTGGCAGCACCTCCAACAAGCATGCAGACACATGACACAACTATTCTGAACTGTTAGTTTTTCCGGTATCTGGAGAACATTCATGCCTGGAGCACTTGTGATGTGAACCTGCGACATCTGCACATTATCATGCAGCAGCCCCTGGGACATTGCTCAAGTCCCAAAGTGAGCGCGGTGACAGCAAGATGTTGCGCTGTTGCCATGTTTGCAGTGGGGGTGATGCTGTAAGGTAGCTGATGTATCTCTGCTGAGTGATTTGTTCACTGCACCTCTCGTCCTTGTTACCTTAATAATGCACACATCATTAGGGAAACAAAGCAGAGGGATGTTTTGGACAGTGGGTCTTGAAAAGTGATGCATTTCTTATTTGGTTCTGACTGAAACACATATGTGTGAATTACAGGCGAGCTGAGTCTTGTGAGAGTTCTTGTCAGTGGATGCTGGCGCAGAATTTCCCCCCCATGAGAAATCAGAAATGAACCCTGGGGTTGCACACATTTGAAATGACACAGTCACACACACTCCTTTGTCTCCCTCTCACACACACACACACACACACACACACACACACACACATCTGCAATACGGTTGGCAGGGAAATGCTATTCAGTTGAGGTTGATATTAATTAGAAAAGCTGTGTGAAAGAGGCCAAACATGAATTGGTTCTGCTTCCCAAAAGGTGTTCAATGGACGGCCTTGGTGCCTTTTACTCAACACCTGTTTCCGAGCTCACACAGCTTCGGAAACATCCAGAAAAGACAAAATGGTGCAAAATAGACCTGACTGTTTTAAGAATGCATTTTGCCCTCTGTATTTTATACTCTGTTGCCTCTTTTTCTCTTGCTTTGACATTCAACAAACTGAGCCTGTGATAAAAGAGAAGTGTCAACATGTCAGTGCCAGAAGTGATCTTTGCACAATGTCATGCCCATGATTATAGCATTGCATCACTAAGCGCTTTATTGTCAAACTTGATTTCCAGTGTACAGAGAACTTGCGTGACAGAAATGTATTTTGCGCACAGCAGCAGAAGCACATGAGGGAAAAAAAAGGAAAAGGACGGATGTCTCATATTTCAGTCATTTTTACTGACTCCAGGAGAAGCTTTTGGTCGCTTAGATTGAGGAATCTCAGTTTCCTTTTCACCCTCCCACTTTAATTTATCCAGCTTTGGGTGCAATAAACAGACAGCTCTTCATTTTGACTTCGCTTAGTCAAATCCACTTGTGCCTGCCTCGCTGCAGTCAATCTGTCACAAGACAAAGTGAGACGTTTGGGCTTTGCAGCTCATCTTATAGTGGCAGTTTGACTGGAGAAGCGATGGGATGCTTTGTGGAGAGAATAGGAGAGCCCGAGGTAATGCACAGTTAACAGCAGTGACAGAGGCTTTTTCAGCTATTGTAGAGCATTAGTGATCCCTTGTGAGGAATGTCTTACAGGTTGTGAAGGAGGCAGACTTTAAAGGCAGTGTCACCAAGGAGATTGAGTGTTGTTGTTGTTGATGTCAAGAGCGTAACTGGTTTCACAGCTTTTCCTGCCATGTAGCGCAAAATGGGAACAATATAGATGTGACAGGGCTGATTGGTTTGTTGATTAATAGCTCAGAAAAAAGTGACTACATAAACGCTTTATTGTGTGCCAAGACTTGTGCTATCAAAACTCAGTCTACTTTTAGCTTTTGGGAACAATCCTGCCTTCACCCTCATCATATTCTCAGCTGCTCAAAGATGGAGGACAGCGCTGCAAGCCAGCAGCTGGGTTCAGAAAGCATTTTCCACCCAAGCTGTATCATGTTGTATGACGCATGCACCTCCTCATTGTACATTTCTTTTAACTGCACAGAGCAAGCAAGCACTAACTTTGAAGATGTTTTGCCATGCTCACATTTAAAACTTTGTTTTGAATAACCTATGTTGACAATATAATCTGTGACAGTCAGTGCAAAGATGGAAAAAGTGGTCACCCATTACAACCATGAATTTAGTGCAGTAAGGGGGCCGTGGGGAACAAATGCTAAATTAATGCTAAACTGACACTCAACAAATTCTAAATACAGCTAATGTTGACAGAAGAGGGTGAATGTTTGTTGGGTTTTTGCCTTCACATGCATTGGCTGATGGTTAATTGTTTAAATTGGTAATTGATTAATTGACTGATGGCGGTCTGATGATTCCAAGAGGGGTAATATGTAGCTTGTGTGAGACTGGATATAGACTGTTGAATCTGGCCACGTAAGGAGAAGCAATTGTTCTCGGAGGTGTTTGTCTGAATTACAGATAAACAGTCGCTTAAGTGACAGGAAACACCTTTTAATGTGTATTGGAAAGCTGAAGGTGTGTCAACTGATACTGCTTGTTTGGCAGACACTATATATTGTCATGATGTACTAATTCTTTGGCTTTCTTGTGAGTAAACCCTCAACTGTCCAATCCTGTGTTTTGAGTCTCTGATTTAGTAACGTCCTAGATCCTAATGCTCCTTTTGAACATCAGACCCACCCCAAGAGCTCAAAACTTGCTTAACATTGTTTCATAAGCTTGATACTTTATAATTGTAACTTATTTTTCTGAGAATCTAAACATGATTTTGATTTGATGATGTTTCAGAACTCTTCTATTACTTCTGCTTAGGGTTAGCTGTCAAACATGGGTTTTCATATGTTCCATGGTGCTGACTTCACCTTTACAAATTCTAAATAAATCTATTAGGATCAGTGTGGGTTTTCTCCAGGTACTCCAGCTTCCTCCCACAGTCCAAAGACATGCAGGTTAATTGGTGACTTTAAATTGTCCGTAGGTGTGAATGTGAGTGTGAATGGTTGTCTGTCTCTATGTGTCAGTCCTGTGATAGTCTGGTGACCTGTCCAGGGTGTACCCTGCCTCTCACCCAGTGTCAGCTGGGATAGGCTCCAGCCCACCCGCGACCCCTGACAGCATAAGCAGCTACAGAAAATGAATGAAAAAAAAAGTATAACAAAGACGTCAGACCTCCCAACATAAGTGTTATCACTATTTAGCAGGGTTGGGCAATATATTGATATGATATTGATATTGTGATATGTGACTAGATATTGTCTTATTTTTCATCTTTTTCTGTTGTTAAAGGCGGCATTACAGTTAAGTGATATGGTTTTTTGAGACTCCTAATGCTCTTCTATTATTTGCCTTTATCCACTTAGTCGTTTCATCCACATACCGATTATTATTTGTCAAAAATCTCATTGTCTAAATATTTTGTGAAAGCACCAATAGTCAACCCTACAATCTTGTCGCAATAACGATCGAGGTATTTGGTAAAAAACATCATGACATTTGATTTACTGCCCAGCCCTGCCATGTAGGATGACATACTATACACTTCTTGGTCTTTGAATGACATTTGGCCAAACATTATGTTCAATATAACATATAAAACATGAACTATTTCCTGATTTAATGGAATACCAATGCTTTCTGGACATTTCCATATTTTGTTACCTTCAAATGTGCAAGGCCTGAGTATGTTAAAGGGATAGGCCACCACTTAAAACTTTAACATATTGAGATTTAATAAGGTCAGAAGAAAAGAAGTGGTCTTGTAAAGGAAAAAAATAAAATTATTACTGTTATTTTGTACGTTCCCAAATAACAGGGGTGTGGGTTTGAAGTCCTCCAGAAAGTTTTGAGCATCAAACAGTGAATTTCCTGCATTCTGGTGATTTTAATGCACCAATTTGTGTCTTTTCTGCATCAATGTATGGTGTAAATAACTTGTTTGTCATGTTTTTATTGGGGTGACAAATGTATATTCTCAATACTCCCCCCTCAAAATCTACACCTATGAAGCAAACTTCTACAAAACACAAAGGGTTAATGTTATCATGGTTCCTGGATTGCAGATATTGCAAAGGTCGATAACATCTAAATGACAATATGCACTGATCAATCAGATTTTGACAGATGTGACGTTCTGCTGCTCGAGCGTCAGTCTGTGTCTCGTCACCGCTCGCGTCTCCTGAGAGATGGACGAGAATTGCCTGCAAGTCTGAAGTGTCACATACATCAGCTCAGCCATCAGGGAGACAGGGCTTTGTCACGAAACGAAATTGCACATTAGTGAATATGTGTGTGCGAGTGCATGTATAGGGACAGAAGGCTCAAACCCTATTGGCACGCATAGCCAAGGACTTGATTTTCAATTACTGGCTTGGACACCCCAGGGATTGGACCAATGGCACCATACTTTGCGGCCAAGAAGGCTGTCAAAACTATAATTGGAACAAAACGCTATTTTTCTGATGCTCTATAAGCCTGTGTGTGTGTGCATATGTGTGTGTGGTAGAAGG